TCACATGCATGCCAGCAAGCATGTCAGCAGGCATGTCAACAAGGGTGTCAGCAAGCGTGTCAGCAAGCGTGTCAGAAAGCGTGTCAGCAAGCGTGTCAGCAAGCGTGTCAGCAAGCGTGTCAGCAAGCGTGTCTGCAAGCGTGTCAGCAAGCGTGTCAACAAGCGTATAAACAAGCGTGTCAACAAGCATGTCCACAAGCATGTCCACAAGCATGTCCACAAGCGTGTCAACAAGTGTATCAACAAGCATGTCAAAAGCATGTCAGCAAGCATGTCAGCAAGCATGTCAGCAAGTAGGTCAGCAAGTAGGTCAGCAAGTAGGTCAGCAAGTATGTCAGCAAGTATGTCAACAAGTATGTCAACAAGTATGTCAACAAGTATGTCAACTGTGAAAACTTGCTGGTTAATTTGATGTTTCAGGTGTTCTTGTCAACAAATGAAAGTGATCAGGACATTCCTTTCCAAATTGCTCAACTGAGCATATACATGTTTGCAAAGCATTATAGAAGAGATCTGACTAAATTTTGTTCATTTTTTGAAATGTTTCACGAATGTTAGGTTTTATATTAATAATAATATATACATTTTTTATCCTATGTTACATGAGATATGAAACAATTATTATACAATTCTGACCATTTTCCACAACATTTCTGACCCCAGGCCTTTATTTTTCATTTTCAGCATTCTGATGGTTGTTTCATATACATATAATTGAAGTATGACATAATTTAATTTGGTTCAAACCTTCATAAATGTTATGAAAAGAAGCACTTATCAGTAATGCATATAAACTATAACAATGTCAGCAAATCAAATTTGAAAAAAAAAACATCAATGTGCATTAACCTTTTCCCCACCAGTTCCCTCTTTTCATCTCAAATTCACAAAATAGTCCCATTTCTAGTCTGCACTTTCCGCCAGAAGATTGGGACAAAAATAGCCAAATTGTTTGAGTAAAAACAGAAAATTGACTCAAATTTTGTCTGTTGGCTCCAAAATTAGGATTCATTTCCAGATATATTGAAGAATATAAGAACAAAATTGCAGAAAAATTTTGTTGAGAGTCTTTTGGTGAAAAGATTAAGGTTTAATGGTACAATGCATGTACCAAGTTTTAATGAAGTCAGGTCAGAATTGCAATGTCTCGCTATTTGTACAATTTCAATGACCTAGGTTTCTATGTCATCCAAGTGCATGTTCTATTTTTTATCCTCTTGATAAAACACATTTGACCATTTGGGGATAAAAATAAATATTATAAACATTTTTTGACAGAATAAAATTTATTATTTATTTAGGTTTAATTATTACTATAATCATGCATACATTTTCTAAATATGACTTGGTGGTGGCAGCTGATGGCACAATTTTTATAAAGGTTCTATTTATAAACATTTTAAATGTCACTAAGTATTCTACTCTGACATTGATGGATGATAGTTTTTTTTTCTCAGAAAAAACAATTCATTGTCAATTACTTTTGAGTATA